TTCACAAAGATGTTGTGATAAAAACGTGGCCTTAAAAAAAACTCATCCTTTACTTGTATACATTCACCGTTGGAACAGCCAACAACCTAGTAAACATGAACGTGTCGTCTGAACTGAAGTACATGAATTATTTAATGTCACAATCCTGGTCCAAGAGCTTCATTTTTTCACGTGTACTTTTGCTATAAAAAGGATGAGTTTTAATGATGGAGCTCAGAACAAGGCAGCAAAGGGTTAATGATGGCAAACTGTATATGTGCTGTGTATGTAGTGTCACCATGGCAACAGAGGGGGAGCCCACAGATCTGATCAAAGTGCTTCATCTCCTCGTGCTCTCCTTCTCCTGGGGCATGCAGGTCTGGGTCTCTTTTATCGCAGGTAAAACCAGGGTAACTCACTCCATGTATTCACACCATTCACACTCCAGTGCTATATTTGACCTCTGACCTTGTTTGACCTTTGAACCTGCAGGATTTGCACTGGTCTGGCAGGTGTCGCGACACACCTTCGGCCTGGTGCAGAGTAAACTCTTTCCTGTTTACTTCTACTGTCTGCTGGGCAGCAGCGTCATCAGCCTGGCTGTGTACGCAGTCTATCACCCCAGGGATCTGCTGGACTGGCACGAGAGTGTGCAGGTCCACACACACACACACGTGTGTACGTCAGAGGTCTGTATTCTGTCAGTGATGTTCTCATCCTGACTTTCATGCCTTGCAGATGAGTCTCTACTTCGTGGCGTTGATCACTGCCGGTCTAAACGCTCAGTGGTTCGGTCCAGCGGTCACAGAGACTATGTTCCGGCTCAGGGAGGTGGAGAAGGAGCATGGCCTTGGAGACCAGGTTGGTCTCAGTGCCCAGAAGGAGGCGTACGCCAAGCTGAAAGAGCAGGACCCCAAGTACAGAGGCTACAAGAGCACGTTCGTCCGCTACCATTCGTTGTCCACCATCTGTAACCTGACGGGCTTCATCTGCAGTACAGTGAATCTGATCTACACGGCCCTGAACCTGTCCACCATTTAAACAACAACAACAAAAAAACAACACAAACACAAACACAGACTCACCTTGTTTCCCCTGTCCTTTATGTTAGACGATCACAGAGAAACAGTACTGACTTCACAACTACAGCACCATCAGATTAACTAGTGAGGGGATGCACCCCCGCCTCCCCCACCCCACCCCCACCCCCACACACCTCCAACCCAGTCCATGTGAGTCTGGCCTCCGTGTTCTTACGTTTTTTTTAAGCTTCAACATCTTTAGTTCTTACTCCTGCATCAGCATGTCTTCATGCTGTTGGACCCGTTTGTCTCCAGCAGAGGGAGATGTTTCAGCGCCTGGCCTGTTAATTGTTTCATTGCTCAGCACAGCAACACAGTTGACACTGAGGACATCAAAGTGTCTTTTATATTTGTGAAAAAAATAAATAAACAGAACAAAAATAAAGCTTTTATTGTTAAATGTATCAAAGAGTTTCTGTTTCCTGTCCACCGTCTCACTGCCTTCTCACTAAATCACTGGTTCTGTCAGGGAGCTCTGGAAACTGACGTGCTGCTGAGTGAACCCAGACTCCACGGACTGTGGCTGGATCTGGTGGAGACGGGTCTTAATTAAATCACATCAGATTTTGGAGCAGGGTGGCCGTGGATGCAGCATGAGGGTGAAGAGGCTGCAGTCCTGGTGAGGGCTGCGATCCCAGCACTAATGGACCGTAATGGAGTCATTTCAATATGAAATGCAGGAGCTGAAAGTAAAAAGGAGGAGGATGTGCTAATGCTTGGCCTCCCTGGTTAATTATCCTGCTTTTAGCTCATGAAAACACAGCGTGCCATGAACATTGGTCATTTCCGTGTTTTCGCTCTCTGACTCTCCTTCCATTTAGCTGGGAGTCACAGAAGTGAGAAAGCAGAATTTTTTTCAGGAAGGTTGTTCCCTGTTGGTGCGGCGTCGCAGCTCTGAAATATTTTAGGTAAACGACCAGTGACACACCAGGAAGTGAGAAAGAAGAGAAAGAGTGGGAGAAATTTGTGTGTTTTAGACAGAAACACAAGAAAAAGCCCTGTGTTTGTGTGTTTGTTAGCGAGGCGGTGGCGTTGGCGTTGGCGTTGGCGTTGGCGGCGGCTGGAGCGGGCGCTCTCTGAGAGCCCACAGCCTCCAGTTGGATGTACAGTCGTGCTGCAGTAGTGTGCCCCGTTCCATTATGTATGAGCCTCAGTCAGCTCTGCTCGATCATCACTAACGTGGACGTGTCCCGGCGATGGACACAGGAAATGACTCCCGTTTGGACAGAAAGCAGCGAAAATGGAAGCAGTTCTAGCGTCTGTGACTGGAACCACGCAGCCACACGGGGCCTTACCAGAGGAGGGTCACTGGTTCGATGGTTGTCTCTGTGCCAGACTGGTCAACTGTTTTGACCAATAGATGGTGGCAGTATTGAAGTGTGTGTAGTTTGAAGTACTGTAGTACTGCGTCAGTACTTCTTGTCTTTATGTCACAGTGAAAACTCACTCTTCAGCCTCATTGAACTAAATCAACAACATCTGTGTCCAAACCCCTGAGGCTGAAGGTGGAGGTTTACATCACTGACAGAGATGACGTGGTGTGTGTGTGGGTGTGTGTTAGTACAGTCACACTTCCTGTACACACTGTACACACTGTACACACCACCATGAGAAACATACACAATAAAGTCAGGAAACGGTGGCATTTCCTACCAGTGATTAACCACCCCCCACCCCCTCCACCCCCCCACCCCTGATGAAGGGTTCTTAATGGTGCACAGTGTGAGATTTAGCAACACCTAGTGGTGGATTCACAGGCTGCTGCTGAATAACCTTCACTACAACATTCAACCACAGATGAATGGAAACTCAGAACAGCCTTGAAATAGAAAAGTTTTTGTCCTGAGGTCACGTGACTCGTGTTTATGTTTATATTTGGCAACAGTAAAACAAAAACTTTGATTTAATAGTTAAGTTTAAACTAGCGCCCCCTGTTTTTATTTTTTATTAATGTTACTGATTTTTTAATACAACTGTCAAATTAACGCTGGGTCTCAGTGATCTGCTGCTCAGCACACAGGGGGCGCTACAGCCTCTGTGCACACAGGAGAATCCAGATCCGGGATCTGCCGCTGCCGCCGCTGCCTGAAAACAGGGAGGAGGCGGAGGAGGAGGAGGGGGAGGAGGAGGAGAAAAGTGGCGAGGAAGGGACACCGGGCTGGCGGGTGT